TAGTAAACCCTCAAACTAAATAATACAAATGAGAAAAGTTAAAATCTCTACCGTATAATTGTCAAAATGAATAGGGTAGTATTGATCCCATAAAAAAAGTGCAAAAATGCATTTAGTTTTTGTAATAAAATAGTTGAAAATAAAGGAGATTAAAAACCCCCCACAAAATAATAATCAGTAATAGAGGAGGTTTTTAACCTCCGTAAATTGAATATGATATCAAGGATCACAAAAAACTCCTGCAGATAGGTTGTGTCGACTCTAACTACAGAGGTTTGAAAAACCCCCACTAATTAATTTGAGAAGGATAAAAATCCCCACAAATCGGAAAAAAAAAACTTCACTAAATAATATCTTTTGTGTAGTGTCTAAACATTACAATAATTTAATGTTCAACTCTTCTTTTTCAAATACTTTTTCTAATCTAATCAAATGATTCACAATGTGTAAACTGTTTCTATATATTTGCGATGTTGCTTCCTATTGTACGCTAAAGAGTTCATATTGTGAAATCAATGTGTTTCCTAGCTCTTTTGACATCATTTGTTGTTTCATGTGTGACTTCAAGTATGTCACATATTTCTTTTAGTTAATTGTACAAAGACACTTTAAAGAATTCATTAAGATTCATAGCAGATGTTATGATGTTTTTAGCCATGCTATAATATATATATATATATATATATATATATATATATATATATATATAGAGAGAGAGAGAGAGAGAGAGAGAAAGAAGAGGGAGGGAGAGAGAGAGGAAGAGAGAGGGAGAGGGAGAAAGAGAGATTAACACAATAAAATTTATATTAATTCATGTTATACCAAGACTTATGTAATATCAAAGTTTGACAAACATAGCCTAAACGGTGAAAGTAAACTATACAAGAAAACTCCAAAACACTTTTAAAAATAGGCTTAGGAAACTAATTGTAGAGATTAAATTCTCCTTTTTATACCTTAGGAGTCTAATTGCTCCAATAGGATTTTAGAAGACTAACTTCTCCTTTTTACACCTTAGGAGTCGAATAGTTCCCATCAGATTTCTTTTTATACCTTAGGAGTCTAATTGCTCTCATTGAATTTTAGGAGACTATTTCCTCCTTTTTATATAGTAGGAGTCTAATTGCTCCCATGGAATTTTAAGAGACTACTTGCTCCTTTCTATACCTTAGGAGTCTAATTGCTTTCATTGTAATTTAGGAGACTGTTTACTCATTTTTAAACCTTAGGAGTCTAATTGCTCCTATTAGATTTTAGGAGACTATTTCCTCCTTTTTATATAGTAGGAGTCTAATTGCTCCCATCGAATTTTAAGAGACTACTTGCTCTTTTTTATACCTTAGGAGTCTAATTGTTCTCATCGTAATTTAGGAGACTATTTACTCATTTTTAAACCTTAGGAGTCTAATTGCTCTTATCAGATTTTAGGAGACTATTTGCTCCTTCTTATACCTTAGGAGTCTAATTATTTTCATTGGATTTTAGGAGACTAATTGCTCATTTTTACACCTTAGGGGTCTAATTGCTTCGTCAAATTTTAGGAGACTATATGCTCCTTTTTACACCTTAGAATTCTAATTGCTCCTTTCTCTAATCTCCTCGATTATGTCTAACAACACCAGTTATCCTTCTTCATTAATTTAATTAGAAAAATGTTCCACTTGTGGAGATGAAAACGCCATTTCTACTTGAAACATTGCATCCACTCCATAAACTAGTGAAAAAGGTGTTTCCTCCGTGGTTGTTTGCTTGATTAAATGGTAAGACCATAAGACTTGTGACAAGGCTTCAACCGATCATCCCTTCGATGTATTTTATTAAGATGTCTTAATGAAAACAAAGTCTATAATGCAATGGGAGAGATACATCATAAACTCTTTGAATATTAAGAAAATAATACACATAACTCTCTCTTATTACTATTTGTTTTTGTTAATTCTATTATGCGAAGTGTTTATCATCAAAATTAGTATGTTCATTACATAAAGTTAGAGGCTTTTCATGTCATAAAGAGTTAAAAATTATTAAAATGAGTTTTGTATTTTTATGTCTAGTTCAAAATAAAATTGTTTATATTAATATAAATACAATAATTATTTGCCTAAATCCATATATTTACATTTTATCATAAATTGATTCAATAATAAGTAAAAGTAAAAATCATAAACTGAAAGTTTTAATCATTATCAATACTAGTTTTTCTTAAAACATTATTGTAAATATATTACTTTTAAAATAATTTAAATTTTGACAATCGGTCGAATTTGTGGACCAATTTAAATTAGGGTGGTGAATTCAACTCATGGAATGAATAATTGCAAAAGAGATATGCTTGGAATTTTCTCTTTTATAACTTGTAAGTGAATTCCGCTAAGAAGTGAGATCTTTAAATAAAGAGTTGAAAAAGGTCATTTAATTAATCAATGTAATTTCTTCCAATCACATAAAATGTTAGAAAGAGTATGTGAGAAATGATTCTGCTGGTTTGCATAACTTTCATTTGAAGTATAAGAATTAATCCTTTTGCAAACATGTTTTTTATGAAATGTGCATTGCACATGATGATTCATGTTATTCAATAGATATGAAAAGTAAAGTTTAGAGTGGTTTTATGAGCAGATAAGAATATAACTTTAACACTCTCACTAATTCAACGATTCATCAGTGGTCCAACATTTCTACTCAGTTTTTTTAACTTTGTCCTTTTCTTACTGCTTCTAGTTTCATCACAAATCTTCACGTCATTGGGTAGAGCCTGTCTGCTCAAGACTTGTTTGGTATACAACATAATAATGTAATGTATGTCGACCATGACAAGGATTCCTTACACAAAAAAATAAATCATATATTTTGTATAACACTATTATAATGTACGAGTGTGAAAAGTTTATTATGAGTTTAACTAAAGTAAGTTAATTCATTTTCATTCACTTTTTTATGAATTAAAAGTTTTGTAATCTAACTTATTTAAGGAAATAGATTCATTTAACATATTTTGTTTTTCCAAGTTTTTTCAAATATTTATTATGGTAGAATCAAATATTAAAGCAGACTAATTCAATTCGTGAGTTCATAGCAATACAACGAGGATATTTGTCTATTTCACTAAACACTAACCAAAGTTAAGAAATAGTATTATAAAGATAGTAATTAAATATTGAAATATTAATTTATATAATTAGATCAAACAAATAAATTATACATTTAAATAATCAAACTGTATTTTAGTTTTAAAAAAAAACTAAAATGTTAATCTACATAATTAAAATTAATAAATAATTATAAAAAATATTAATAATGAATTATTAATTCAATTCAAATTTGGTTAACTCAACTTAAATGAATCAAATTTAATTTAATCAACGTTTAAAATATTTATAGTTTTATAATTCAATCGGACTTTAACCATTATCAGTCTAACTAACTCATATATTTAACTTAACAACTTAACACCACCGTCACTACAAAAATAACAGATTATACAAGAGGTTTTTTTCTACGTTTCCAGTGGCTTTTTTTTATTACCAACAGCAAAAAGAAGATGAAAAACAATTGATGAAGATGCGACGTAGAACTATGAAATATTAACATACTTGTCGACGATTTGATAAACAAACCGTGTATTAAAAATTAATGTTAGCTTTAGTTTAGCTTAGAATTGCCAAAAAAAATCTAAAAGAAAAACAATAGAAAGATAATAAAAAATATATTTGCGATTTCTATATAAAATGACAAAAAATTATTTGAAGTTTATAAAACCGTCAGAAAAAAAATCCTGATAAAATATGTTATTTCTGTAGTGCATTAAGAAAGGAAAACAAGTTAATGTTGTGTGACAAATTCAAAATGGAAATAAGAAAATTACGGAGCAACCCATAAATTTATATGGTTGAAAATGGTATGATTATTTTTTCAATGGAATTGGCTCATAATTAATTATTATTGAGACGGTTTGCAATATTGAGTTTAGAGAAAAATTACTTTTAAGTAACAAAGACGTGTTTATGAGAATTAAAATTAAGGTAATAAAGAATGGATAATTCTCAACAAAAAGTTTATAAAGAAACTTTAGGAAAAGGAATATTAAATTAAAAAAAAAAAGGTGAATGAAAAGGGAAACAGCTGTCGGCACAGGAAGATGAGAGATTGATGGTGTATGAAGATGGAAAATAAATACGTATTGGTGATGTCATCCTCTAAAAGATGGTAAATAGTATTTAAAAGATGAGAAGGAAGTGATTGTTGAGTTTAATTGGTTTTGTTTTGTAGCTGGATTTTGGACCACAATGAAAATGACAATCCTTGTTCTGCTGTGTGTTCATGCTGTACACCGAAATGATGCGATGCTGTTATCACATGAAGAATGAAGAGACTACTAACGTTGGTGCCATTGATGGTTTTGAGTTAAAGACAAAGATGGTAAATGGGTAGGGTCCCATGAAGCTGCTTCTATTTTCTGGACTATTAGGGGGGTTCACCACGTGACTCAACCCCTTCTACACCTCTTCTTTCACTTATTTATTTATTCCTTCTTCCACCTACTTTCAACCATGCTTTCATCTCTCTTGCTCTCTCTCTCTCTCTCCCTTATTATTCAACCAATGAAGCAACACCTTGCTTTTCTTTTCTTTCTTCTCCTTCTTTCCTCCTTCCTAGTTTCTCCCCGTCTCCTTCAACCACCCAAAGGTAAATCACATCACATCCTATATTATATTCTGTATTATATATTATATCTTTCTTCACCTCAGAACTTCGTATAGGTGAGAAGGAAGTGCAGCTCAATCATAAATCTGTTTTTCGGTCGTCCTTTCAGCTAAATGACAGTATGGAACAAGTAAGAATACGTCTGATGTTTAATGTATCTCCATCTCCATTTGCATGTTGCTTTCTCATACACACAGTTTAAAACCAAAATGAACTTGTTTAAAATATTTTCTGTTTATATTTCTATTCTCACTTTTAAATGTAACAATGTATTGTTTTCTTTTAACAAAAACTAGTGAAAACAATTATGTCTTCTGTTTTCACTTTCTGTTCACTGTTTTGTACAGAGTTTTTACAGAGATTGAAAACAGGAAATGTTTCTCTAATTGGATGTTATTTCATACAGTTAATGGGTTCGGAGGAGTGCTTTGAGAATGATGAAGGGTGCAATAGCAGAAGGATGATGGTGGAGGCGCACTTGGATTACATCTACACGCAACGCCACAAGCCTTGAATCAATTGGACTTGAACTTTGGTTCAAAGGCAGAGTATTAAGTACGAGTCCCTAATATAAAACCAATAAAACCGTCTTCTGTTTTTTCCGGGATTCAAGTTGTGTCTGTCATTGAAAATGAAAAAGAAATAATTAATTACATTAGCTAAGGATAGATGGTGAGTCATCACATAATTTTTCGGGATATACTTTTTCCATGGTGTATATGTTTATTCACAAATCATAAACGTCTAATATTATTTATATAATTATTCCTACATAACTGTGACTAGACAGGACCACCTTGGTAACATTGCCCAAACAAATGTCTTTTAGTCTTTGAATCACTTTGTGTAATTTTAATTTCTCAGTAGCCTCTCAGTTCCAAGTCTGCATACTGAGTTACTCAAATTTAGTAATTATGCAATTTACGTCTCTTGCACACAGTACATTAGCATTTTTTTTATTCCATGTTAGACATCACTACAAAATGTTGACATCTTAAATTTTCATTAATCACGTGTCACCACATAAAAAGTCTAAAAACAAGAAAGAAAATACAAGTAAACTGATCTTGTAAAATTAGTTCAAAATGGAAAAGTTAAAATAGTTAAGAATTAAAATTGCACAAGTAGGATACTCAGATACCGAAAATACAATTAATATGAAGTATTTTCGATGTCAGCACTCTCGTGACCATCAGTGAATCGAATTCAGTGACAAGTCTATTTACTCGTGTTGTTTTTATAAAATGATTTGCAATAGCCCTTGATGTAACTTGTCTTTTATAAAATGATTTGCAATAGCCCTTGATGTAACTTGTCACGAAATTAGAACACTAAACTTTTTCTTCCTTTTAAGGAAGGTATACAATTAGGATACCTTATCCCTCCAGAAGCCCAAATTATAATTGTTGGACCTAAGGTAGTTTAGTTGCCGTGACCGATAACCAGTTGATGTTGCATCTGACAGAAACACCACTAGTCCAATGTTAAGGGGAACAGTTGAAATATGCAGCCGATAGGTTCGAAAAATAACATAAAGTACCAATAAGGTATCAGTTAATGAATGTATTTATGACCCGACATAGTTGATGTAGTTTCATTAACTGATAAATAACAAGATTGGCACCTGGATGACCAATGAATCCTCTCCAACAAACATTTTGATGTGTCATTGAATGTTTTCACAAAGAAACACATCAGCTCACATGCCAGTCGATCACAATTAGAAAGTGTGCAGAAAGTAATGCGAAAAAAGAAAACTTAATATCAACTCTTGAGCAACAAGGAACAGGTAGAAATTTGACAGTGGCAAAAATAAATGACAAGAAAAGCAAAACGCAGACTAAAATGCGTTGCAGAAATTTCTTGCACAAAAAAGTACAGATGCTGTGCGAATATCATTCATTAAGTACATAATTCACCAACTAAATGCTAGGGGTGAAAAGGCGTATTTACCTAGCAGAATAAACAATAAAGGCTCCGCATCTGAATAGGAAATGTACATCTTTCATCTTTATTCAAAGCCAAAAAAATGAAAAACTCAGTCAGTACTCTCCAAGAAAAATACAAATCAACATTCGCTATTGTTCTTAGAAATGAAATTTATAACATTAGGAAAGCAATGTCCCGGTAGAAAGTAACACTGCAATTCCGAAACCCCTTGCGAAGGACAGTGTGCAAGGAAAACACATAAAAGGTAATCAGAATAGTTAGAATTCATATGATACAGAGAATGCCATCCAACATTTGGGATAACTACAACGACCACAGTGCTTTGCCCCATATTACAACCAGATGTTGTTTAAAAGGCAAAAACCCACTTCAATAACCAAAATGAAGTAATGCAACCAACCACATCAATAAGCAAAAGTTGAGGTGGAAAAGCTAACGCACTTTACATACTCTGAACACTAAGGAATATCCTCTTCCTTCCTGAGTGCAAAAGAAACTAAAGAAAACAAAAGAAAAATGAAGTGCACAAAATTCGTTTGACAACTCTTGAAACCAATTAGAAAACAATTTAGCATTAAAAGCCATAAGATTTGATTAATTCAAAGTAAACCTTAGTTCCCTCACCTACAAAGTTCTTGTTACAACAGAGCTCCAATGTTAACTTGATTTAATCCTGTCCTGCAAAATGTAACAGGTCCAGACATTATCAGCAATAAAAGTCCTTCGATTTGAAGTAAGCAAATAGTGGGGGAAAACAAAATAACAAAACAGGTTTTTTAAACTTGAGAAACAGAGAGCCTAGGGCAATCATTTGACATTGTCTAGTTAACTTTCAATGCTCAACTGCCACTGATATACAAGAGCATAGAAACCAAAAATTTAAGCAGACACCCTCTTTCAAATAGGAAAGGTGTGTTACATTGAACTTAAACAAAACCTCGTTTGTGTCCACAATTATCAAGTAATAAGTCTTACCATCTCATGGACACTTGAAATCAAGTTATCTGATAAGCAATTTGCATGAATGATGGGACCCCTTCCAGTACTCATATCTCCAGTTCCCATCTCACTGTTGCTATTAGAGTTAGCAAAGTAAACAGCTCCTTTGAACATCCATTCCCCACTTTCCTCACAGTAAAAATCTTCAAATAGCTCACCGCACAACACACACAAGCATTGGTTTTCATCTGCTACAACCATAGCATCCTCTTGACTTCTGTCTGCTTCATTGCCATAAGTATCTACAGAATCAGCATCATTCTCTGATACATATTCAGCCTTGCCAACAATCCAGTCACTTGACTTAAGATACCATCTCACTGCCTTAGTTAAACCATTCTCTTCTCTATCCCTTGTGGCATGCCACTCCAAGTGTCTATTGAACTGTTTTTGGAATCTAAGTCTAAAGCCACAAATGCTGCAATGATGTGGAAGATCATCAAATAATCCACTAATTACAGATGAATGGAATTCTCGTAATACATCATGCTTAAACTCAAAGCCAATGACATTTACTACTCCTGGACTGGTTGATTCAGACAAGGATATGGGCGTTCTTGCAGTGTCATCAACCTCATCTTTGATTGAAGGGACTGGTACAGCTGCAGAACCAGAAATTGAGGCCACAGGTAAAGAGTTACCGGTGGTAATGCTATCGCTTTCTTCTTCCAGTCGAGTCAGCAACTCAGAGGGCTCCTTAGATGTTGATTCTGTTTCTGCAGATATCAAGCCTTTTGCAACTAAAGAGCTTAAAAGGTTGGCAATTGGATTCAAGTTATGATTGGTATCACTTGTCTGGGCAGAGGCACTGCTGACATTAGAGGCAGTAGATGGTAGAGTAGATAACCTAGGTGGTTGTCCAGCCTTTCTTTGAGGCATTTTTGAGAGAGCAGATGAATTATCACCAGAAGGACCTAATGAAGATGGTAATGCACTAGTGGACAATGAAGAAATTAATGTGGCAGGGGAAGGACCACCTGTTCGTGAAGGCCGAACACCTAATCGAGTTGGAAGATTCCCTGTACTCATGCTACTTTTAGTTTCTCTGACTAAAGGAACCTTGGACACAGGTGGCTTCTCAGTCTTAACAGTAACCTCAAGAGAAGTGCCCAATTGCTGCTGATGCCTTGCCTGAAAAGTCATTGAAGAGAATGGACCCTGCAAATTTTTCAGTTGTGATCTTTGTAAGTGACCATCCTGAATATTAGGGGGAAGAGCAGTTGAAGAATCTTTAATATAGGGGCTCTGCAGACCTCCCAGAAATCCAGATGCCTTATATGTCTGGGGAAGGTCTTGCTCAGCCAAATTTTGCACAGGATGAGAATAGTGCACACTTACTGGTGGTGATGGAGACCTCCGCTGCAAAGGTGACTGCCCTGAAGGGTTTTCAGCTCCCAAAGAATGAAAGGGTCCTGCAATTCCTGGCAATCCTATGGTTGCACTTGAAAGGAATGGCCGACTCCCCATTCTGGCAGTAGAGGCATTTGTATTGGACGGTATGGCACCAAGTGCGGACACAAATCTGCTGGAGTGACCAGCTTTTCGATTCAACTCATTAATAGAATGCTGCTCCTGCAATTGCCATGATAGTGATGAATGATGTTGAGATGCAGGAAATTGTTTCTTTTCATTGGCTTGAGATTCAATAACTATTTCTCTATCAGCATTTACCACAAAAGGATTTTTGACTTGGATGCGATCTTCAACTTCCTGCACACAAAATATATATATACACAACAATTAATGTGCATAGCTACATAATTTAACAATGCAAAATGACCAGGAAAAAACCAGGATTATTGTATTAACTGGTCAGTAATTGAAGGATCTGTGTTTCTAGGGATTTGGAGTTTAACTGACAATAATTAGAAAATTAGGATCAGGTTATTTGGGTCCCAGAGTCCTGGATGGGATTCCAATTCTAGGAACAACTTCATTTATTTTTCTTCTTTTTATTAAATTTTAAGAGTCCTATAAGCTTGGGTTGTGTATCAACTAGTGTCCTGGCCACCTGCAGTTAGCATATTATTTCATCCTAAAACAGAACTTTATGAAGAATTTCTCAACCAAATATTGGTTTCCAATACCATCCCTATAGATCTAACTCAAATCAGCTTGAGGTGAGTGACAGTTGTCTCCCAATATATACTTTTTCAGGCTTTATCACTGGTCAGAATAAGAATTGGGTTTTTCCTAGTATGACCCCTCATGCCCACCACTACTGGACTTGGTGCATAGATAATATGGTAAGTAATCCTAATTTTTTAATGAATCCAGGATAGACTCTAATAACATTTTAGAAAATAGAGTTGAGCCTACTCAATAAGCTTGTGAGATGCAGATTGTTCCTCATTTATACTCTCTTCAGGCTTTATCTCTAACCAACGTAGGACTTGGCCTTTTCTGAACATATTTTGCATCATTTTTATATCCAAATCACCAACTACTACCAAGCTTACCAAATTCTCATCATCAGCAGTCCAAGTATCTTTGCTCAAGCTGCTAACAATAGATGTACTGTGACCAGTCAAGCCAGAGTTCATCTCATCCCATGTGTACTCCTCTTCCTCGGAATTTTTCCAGCTATTTGAGATCACACTGCTCTGTGTGCTAGTTATATTATGTGCCGGTTGATGATGTGCATCCAAAACCATGGACTTTGATGCTTCAGTACTTGAAAAACTATACTTGTTACTCAAACCATTTCTTTGCCCAGGCATGGTCCCTGCAACAACACCAGATTTGTTGTACCAACCTTTGTCATGTCCTGACTCGGTCACCCTACCACCAGGTCGGCTGATACCCAAGCCTAAATTCCTTGAAATATTGGAACCAAGTTCATTGCTTCCATAGGATGCACCAGTGCTCTTTTCTGGAACAGAATCATTGAATGCATCTCTTCGAGCACGTTGATCATTCTGCAACGTAGATTATCACATTAAATCATGACAACTGACAGTGAATGGAATAAGGGGAAAGAAACTTTACTTCACGTGAATGGACGCTAACAGTAACATTATGATCCACCCATGATCGTAAAACACCTAAAGTTCTACCAGGCATCTCTTGGTCATCATTTGAGTTTGAAATTGCTCCAGTCATATCATCAACTCCTTTAGTCTTCAAGACAGAAAAAGTATATGCCAAAAGAATTAAGCACTAGAGATGTGAAAAAAGAAAGGATATGGCAACTTAAAGTAACATGTAAAATGTCTTTTGCTATAACAGTTAAATTATCAGCTCTGCAAGGCGATCATTGTATGGATAATATCTATAGAACAGTGACAGTTAGCTCTAACAAACCCATCCCAACCAGGGCGAAGAGTTTAATGTTTCCAAGTTAATGCATCCAAGCTAGAGTTGGTTGACTAGATCTATAAAGTGGAGATGTCTACGATATCTCACAAGACATATTGTCAATCAAAAAAGTGTTAATGATAAAAAGAGTTAGTGTTTCAATTAATCCATACAATATATCCAAATCCATTTTCACCATGGAATGAATTCATAATCCAATTCATCACAACATAAATTCTGTATTTTATATATTGACCTATAACCAAATCAATGTTCTAAAACTTTAAAGGATAAATTGAGGTGCAATCATTTCACCCACCCTGCTGGACTGCTGTAGACGTTGTCTTTCTAAATACTTGGGATTAACATGAATACTATGAGGTGGACGTTGTGACTGTGAATCACTCCTGAGAGTAGAAGAAGCAGACGAGCCATTGACTGCAGAAGTGAAGCCCAGTTCTTTCTCAATAATCTGAAGGGTCTGAGGAGGAAAGACTCCTTTCCAAGTTCCAAAAAGATGCCTCATACTTTGATGGACAGAAGGATCAACCTGTCTGTATGCTTTGCAGAATACCTAATATGTAAAGGAGTAATTAGAAACTATCAACATAAAAATAGACACCTAAAATCACAAATACATGCAGCACTTGAGTACTTGCATGACATAACTACTTAACGTATTTATAGACAATTACAAGATGATGATTACAAGAGAGGAAAAACGAAATCAACAACGAGCTAAAAGAAGAATAAATGTCTGACCTCAGGTAGCCTGGCAGCGAAGTATTTTATATAATCCCGCCCAATATTCTTAACAATACTGTCTAAGAGATAAAGTGATGGCAGCTTTTGATCACTAGGAACCTGGAAATTCATTAACACAACTTGTAAAAAAAGGACCTCTTTTAGTATTACAAAAAGATTAATGACCAAAGAACAAGAAAAGACAGCCTGCGTGTGTAAAGTAACAGAAACCAATAATATACTGCTCGCACTTGGAAAATACCAGTAAATAAAATGAAAATTCAGAAATAGTATATCAACAGCAATTGGATCTAAAATTACATAGAAGTTTCACTAAAATGTCACGACTGTTCAAAATTGTTAGTTATTTCATTCCTTAGTTCTAGTTGCCTCTAACAGTCAAGGTCTCATAGTAGGGAGACAACTAACAAAAGTAAACAAACAGAAAAAACAGTATAAACATTTTTATTGGTCATTTTGATCATATGTTGCCCTTCATGGAACAAGTGCAACAGATAACAAAAGTCTTAACAATGTACAAGATGTATTAGAGCGGTCTTTGGAAACTCAGGAAATATGAAACGTCTTAGCCACAATCTCCATTCCTATAAAAAGAATATGATTCAACCTTTAGATCAAAATAAATACCAATGGTTCCTTCCACTATTTGATTCAAATTGATTTTAGAGGGATACATCTCTGTTATCATAAATTACATGCTACATGTAACTCCCTCAATCAAAGCAAATCTACAAGTAGAAAAATGAAATGATAAAATTACAATGTCTTTGTACAACTAGACTATACAAATTCTGTCTAAAATCCACACCTAAAAAGAAACAACCAGAGAGGTCATGCATTGGCTCATGATCTACAAAGTGACAAAATACTGTAAAAGTACAATGTATATTACAAATATTGGAAATGGAGACAGGGAGCTGGAGAGAGAGAACATTTATGAGATTGGCAACAGTGAAATGGTAATGTTTTTCCTCACATAATGTGTTCACTTAAATTATTTTAAAGATTCATCCCCCTTGTGCATACTTAGTTAAGAAAATACCAGGTCAAGTGTGGTGTACCACTCTCTAGTGATGCTGCTTGTCTGTTGCAAATGATTACCAAACCGCCATAATCTTGCAGATTGAAGAATGATAGCCTTTTCAAGTTTATTTTTATTTAGATTGCAGAGCTTTATATACGCCAAGCGTTGAGTGGACCAATGAAATGAAATTGGAAAATTATAATAAAGCCCATATCTCCATACATGTTTTTCTCTTCCCATGGCAACTGCAACTCTTTCCCCAATCACCAGACAACTTCTACAACAGTAACAACACTAAAGAACCACATTCCATTAATAGCAAACATTACAATACTGTCACTTTCTCGGAAAGACACTGTATCACACCACAAAACATAAGAAATGACACAATTTATCATAATATCAGGATCCCGTTTTCCTTTTCTATTCCAAGTATGTTACAACAATTTTCTATCAGGATCACCAACATAATAAAAATTCCTTTCCTTTTCTATCCGTTCAATTCAATCAGCAATTGGCTACATATCCCTAACAAAACAACAATTGAACAGAGAAACAGCTGCACAGTACTATAAACTAAGTTCACCTCTAAAATGTTAGCACAAACAGTTGCTGCAATGGCCTTCTCTGCAGCTTGGTTCTCCCCTGCAATGATAGTCAAGTTGGTAATTATCGGTTTCGAGTTGAAAGTAAGTTCTGCAAGAGCTGCCTTATACTGAGTAACAAGCTCCTGAAATGGCAGTGGCTGGGGCTGATAACCGCCACCTCCAGCACCACCCCGGCGACCAAAATCATTGCTTTCAACGTCTCTTTCGGTTGTTCTAAACCTTGCAGACGGTAACGTCGAAACCCCAGAAATCACTTGTAGTTGAGGAAACTGTCTCGCACCAGAATTCGGAGCCCGATCCAGCTCTTCCATCAATCTGGGCTTCTTCGGTCCAGGCTCTCGCGATCTATCGAACGGTCTACGCGAGTTCTCCATGCCAGCCAAATCAAACGCCCAAAAACTAAACAAAAATAAACTCCCAATCCGAACCCTAACTTACATACAATTGGGCGACAAAGATGTATAAACTAGATTACAAGATGAAAATAGCTTCGCTGTTATTGTATTATTTACATCAAATCAGAACAATTGAAATAAGCAGGAAATACTATAAAACTGAAACAAAAACAAAAACAATTCTAAATTGTACAACGATAATAGAAATAAAACCCTAATTTCAGTTCGTACAATAAGAAGAAGAAGAGGAGGAGGGTAGAACAGAGAGGGTTGAGGAGCCTTGAAAATTTGTTCTTGTATGCGTAAAGAGGAAAAGAAGGGTTGGAATTCGATAGGGAAGAGATGAAATAACAGTGTAAGAGTAAAGCTGGTTTTTCAGACAAGGCCTCGTCTCATGTTTTTCAAGGAGGAGACTATTTTAAAAGGATAGATTCAGGCTTAAATGATTACTTTGTGCTCTTAAGCTTACTTTTCTAAGCTTATTTTGTCCTCGACATAAATTTTTGTTTAATATTTAATTTTAAAAATGAAGATATTGAATTTTTATGTAATGAAAAATATATGACAAAACTTTATTTATATATTTTTCATAACATAATACTGGGATTCAATGTCTTCATTTTTAAAACCGGATATTAAACAAAAATTCATCTTTTAACATGGAATTAAGTAAGTATTTAAGTCTTTCCTTAATAAACTCTACTTGTGTCCATAGTTTGACTCCAAAATCTATTCTTTTATTTATTTTATGTTTGATGGGGACACTTATCAATAGGTACGTGAGTGAAACCATCTTCAAAATACGGTGAAAAATGGTGGGAGTTTTGAGCTTTAACTACATGAGACATGGTGTGTGATAGAAGAAAATATCAACAACAGCAACCAGATTGCTACTAATTTTAAAATTCTTTTAACTTTACTTATTTGTAAATTTTAAAATTGTTTGAGATATTTTTCTTCAAAAAAAAATCTTGGGATAGAAGTAGATACAAAACTAAAATATACTAGCATGTGTTTACTTCTTAAATCTATATACAGATAAGATTACCAAGGTGGCATATATCATGATTTTCTTTCTAAAATATACGTTAACACGCTGGATGAAAATGATCGCATCTATGTATTTTTTAAGTATAAAAACTTAAAAAAATCAAAATTTAAGATAGAAATAAAAAATAAAATCTTGTTATAGTTTAAAGACCAAAAACATAGTTAACTCTAAAAGTTATGTTAGTTAAATATGACTTTACTAAGTTATATTATAGTTCTACAACTTTTATTAGAAAATTATCCATGAAAAAAGTCATTCTTATCGATTAGGACATTAATTAGTACATAACTATCATGTACTTAGCAAAAACGTAAACATAGAAGACGTTTTTTGTGATTTTTTTTCATATACAATAAGTATTGTAAATGATGATGAACACACAAATGAAGTAGACTTTCTCATGCATATATATTTTACTATCTTTAAAAACATATCCACAGTGTGTTTGTAAGTTTCCAAAATACAACACAAACTCCATAGATTTTTCGAAGAACTAAGAACTAGCAAGATAAACTCTTAAAATAATAAATAACTTACGATAAAAGAGAACAAAGAAAAATAGAGAATATATGTGAAATTGTGTGTGATGTAGAGGAGAGAGAAGTTATCTATTTATAGGTGAAAAAAAGAAATTATAGACCACACGACTCACGAAAAGAAAAGAAGACTACATTATTTCCATGAGTAATCGCATACCTCATATGGACCAAGGAAGGAACATGGTGAAACAAAAGGAATCACAACGACATAAATGAATTTCAATTTAGAAACACCAATAGCTTCTAAAAATTCTTATTGGATTATTTTTTGCTAAATAAGAATAAAAATATCTCTAAATGAGGTTTTCTTCCTTTGTCTTTTACTTCTCCTCAATTCCTCACACATGACATCATTATTAGTATATATAAGTTTCAATGTCTCACTAACCTTTAAAGAAAAAATATGTTCAAAGAACTCAACATTTTTTGTCTCCATTGTGGTATTATGTTCTATTACAACACTTTTAAGCAAAAAACCTATAAGCAGCACTATATTTTGCATGGCCTAAAAACATACAATCAGGAGTTTTAGAACATATTTTATTTTCTTAGGATCAGATAACATTATCTTATAAGAGCAAAAAACCTATAAGTAGCACTATGTTTTGATGGCCTAAAAACATACAATTAGAAGTTTTAGAACATATTTTATTTTCTTAGGATCGGATAACATTATCTTATCAAGCCACCCTCACACTATTAGGTATTTAAGATTATGGAGTTTTACCAATTTTCTTATATGATATCCTATTTTATTTTTTTTATCAGTGAATGTTAGTTGTTAGTATTTTGTTAGTGGTATCCTATTTTCACTAGTGGAAAAAGAAATTTCCATGACAGCTTATTATGACAAGTGAAATTCATTTGTCATAATACATTGACCGATGACAATTTCATAATAAAACTAAGAGATATTATGACGTACTTTAGGAAATTTGTCATAATAGGTGTAGTTGTGAGAATGTTAGTATTAGACTGGTTCTAGGTAGGGAAGTATAGTTAAGCTTTGTGTTTAAAGTCTGTTAGATTGATAGGATCTGAGATAGAACTCTGAGTTTCTTTTAGTGTTGGATCTTAATACATTGGGTATTTCTTCTATATGAGTTAGAGCATTGCAATATTGTTTTAACTGTTCATTACAATATTGTTTTAACTCCATTATTTTATTTGTAGATCTTTAATGATTCATCTCCAATTGAAGCTCCAAAAGACATTTGAACCAGGCCGGCTTCTTTTATTTTAAGTGTTAGTAAACTGTAGAAACTTGACTACAATTTAGTAATGTATGTATGTTAATGTAATATTTGGTTTTAATATATAGTTTAATGTACAAATTATTTATTAAATATTATTAGACAATTTAATGTTTGTTAATTTCAGACTATTGATTATAAATTGATTGGATGAGATGATAATACATGAAATTGATTGGATCTCAAATGTAATAACTATTTTTTTTAAAACAAGTTTTTATGACGTATATGACAATGTATGTCATAATAGGTTAATTCTGAAAAACATATATTATGACACGAAAAAATATCTACATCATAAAAGATCACATATTATGACAGGTAAATCTAGCTGCATCATAATAAATTCGAAATTCGTCATATTATGACTGCTAAGTGAAAATCTGTCATAATAAACTAAATGTATTACAACAGGGGACAAAAAGTACGTCATAATATGTTAAACTTATTATAACGTACTTTTATTCTACGTCATAAAAAACGCAGGACCTATTATGACGACCATAACTATGACGTCAGTCTACCTATCATAATAGGTTATTTTTACTCGTCATAAAAAGTTATTTTTGCACTAGTGTTTACAAAAAATATGTTGTAAAAAGAGCTTATCCATTGGAAAAAATATGTTGTAAAAAGAGTTTATCCATAAATGTTATCAGATGCACTAGAACTTATAATCATTAATTCAAGGATTGCATTGATTCACATATAGAAAGCGTGAATTCAAAGTAGGGATTGCTTTAATCCACGAGCATGCATTTGTGGACTTCATTGGTAGATTTAATTGAGGTGAAGGAAGACTTGGTAGAGAATCCTGACGTCCTTGACCACCATCAAAATGCATGAACCAAAGTAGTGTTGAAGGACATGAATGTGAAGTTAAAAAGAGAGTACATACATTAGCTTCCCACTTGCAAAGGAGAAGCAAGTGTTTGGTGTACGCATTTAAGTCATCTTACAAAAATAATTTTCATATATGTAGGTTATAAACACATCTTGTATAGACTATCCATCAAACCTCATATGTTTCTCATTTTCCTTACATTATCCTTCTTATCTTTCTTTTCTGTCTTTTGTTGTCTTCAAAGTTAATGGATAAATTCCAACGAGTGAAAAATTGTATTTATCATATTGAATTTAGACATTTGTTGACATCTACAAATATCAACATCATCCATCTCTCAATCACAACATTAGTAAAGAGTTGAAAACCAAAAATTAATACCTTCCATCTCAAAAAAAATAATCATATTAATAAACATGATAATGCAACCATGTTTTCCAATTTACGAAAGAAACAAAAAAGTAAATAAAAAACATATTATTGAATTATGAAACATCAATAAAAACCACTAGTTATTTATCTATTATAATATAAAAAAAGATACTAAAAAATTTACCTTATTATCCCTCTTTACTTTGTTGACAAGTGTCCTAAAATTGTATTTTTAGTACATTACTAAATTAGTTTTTCTATTTATATTTATTTTTTTCCACATGTGCATAAAAGTTATTTACTCTTATATCCATTTGTATTTTTTTAAATTGATTTATCCTAAATATTGAAATATATTTTCATACTATTTTTTTATTCTTAATTTTATACATTTAATAAATTATTAAAAAATAATTATTTAATGAGCCTAACAACATAAATTATATATGAACATTGGACATAAGTAATTTATTATAATCTATCTGTTATAATATAAGAAAATAAGATAATAGTAAATTTACCTTATTATCCATCTTTATTTTGTTGATAAGTGTCTAAAAATTGATTTTTTGATACATTACTAAATTGGTTTTCATTTATATTTATTTTTGTGCCACCTATGCATAAAAGTTATATACTCTTTTATCCGTTTGTTTTATTTTTAAATTGATTTATCCTAAATATTGAAATATGTTTCTATACTTTTTTTTATTCTTAATATTTCTATACTATTTTTTTTATTCTTAATATTTCTATACTATTTTTTTCATTCTTAATTTATTTTTATAATTTTTAATTATTTGGTAATTTAATAAATTATTATAAAATATTTATTAGATGAGTATAACAACAAACACTAGACTAACATTAGAAAAAAATAGTTTATTATAATCTATTATTTATTATAATATAAAAAAATAAGATATTAAGAAATTTACCTTATTACCTATTTTTATTGTGTTCACAAAGTATCTTAAAAGTTGATTGTTTTAGTGTATTACTAAATTACTTTTTTATTTATATTTATTTTTCCACCACGTGTACAAAGAAGTTATTGATTTTTTTTTCATTAATAACACATATTACGTTTTTAATTTCATATATAGCATAATGTTTGTTATATTTACATATATAACACATTTTTTAATAGGTTCAGAATTTGGTTTCTAGGAAACCGAATTTTTAATATCTTTAGAAATGTTTTTATAAAAATTAAAATTCGAAACTCGTTTGTCAAGAAAGCGAATTTTGTGAATGGTTTGGGGTTTTAACTTAGAGAAATTTACTTTTACTTTTATTCAAGATAATCGATTATCATTTTTTGAAAACCCCATAACAAACACAAATAGTCGATTATCACTTATGATA